TTAGTGCACCATGATCTGCCTACACAAATCAACAAATAGTGCACGACAGTCTACCTATACGAAGTAGCAAACAACTGATCCAGAAGTTGCTACGCCACGCCACCGGATCCGCGACGTTCTTGGAAGCGAACAGAAGGTGTTTCACAAATATTCCAAAATACCCTCGCACATGCACTATAGTTTGTACACACTTAGGTACACTAAAAGAGGGTATACAATCAACACCCGCATGGGTCCCAGCCAGCGTGTTATTGGTACACACGTGACGTCTAGGGATGCTGCGCGGGTTATCAACTTTTAAACCCAATCTTCCTTAGTAGGTAAAAAGGAGTCGATGGTTTAATTATAAAATGCCCCCAAACCCGCATGGGCCCCGGCGAACATGTTATTGGTGCATATGTGACATCTAGGGATGCTGCGTGGGTCAATAAGTGAATTCTAGTTTGAACCCAATCCATCTATACGGATCAATAGAAGTCGACAGGGTTCGAACCTTCAAACAAATGCATGGTTGTGGGGACCGATGTATTTGTTTCAATACATTCATATTAGGCCTTCAAGGCCTACAATCAAAAGAATTCACTAAACAACATGCACGAAGCCTACGAAACCCGATTCTTCTAAGCAAGTAAATAGGAGTAGACAGGGTTCAAACCATCGGATAAATATACGGTCATGAAATCAACCAGAGTATTTATCTTATACATTAATATTAGGCCTTCAAGGCTTTTAACAAAAAAAGTTCATAAACAAAGGCGCAAAGCCTACGAAAAACCCGATCCTCGATCAACCGCTTGGTCGAGTTGACAAGGTTCAATCAAATAAAAGGAAATGGCCCCAAACACCCTGATGATGGCCGTGTTGAATGTTTATCTCAACCAGAGGGATTCACAAACATTTTCAAATGCCTCCTAAATATTCAAATGCCTATCAAAATCCAAAACTCCACAAAAATACCAAAATCTAAAAAAAAAAAAATCTCAAATCCAAAAAAAAATATTTAAAATTTGAAATCCAATCATCAAATGCTTGAAGCATAATCCATCTGCCCTCCGCAACAGTTTGCTGGAGTGGACAAGTTGAAAACTACTTAAGCTCACATAGAACTAAATGCCTAGTCGAAAATATTACTATGATTCATTCTCAAACAATCTCCTGCCAATAAGGACGTGGTACGTGTCCTCTAACCGGCGGTTTGCTGCCAAATGGCTCCGCAGGATAAACGGTTATGACTCGAGGCCCTCTGAACCGAGTGGTTTTACCGCCAAATGGCACCACAGATACCGGTTATGGCCAGAGCCAATACGCACCTTAGTGGCATTAAATCCTTGAGATATGAATCAATAGGATATGATCGATAGGGCACAAAGCCCTCTGTTAGCTAAGGTGGATTTAAATTTGTCCCCTTAGGCAAACACCCATCCCAGGTCTACAAGGTACCCTTGGACGAAGCAACCCCTGGTTGCCGACAATGATCCTTTTGTCAGGTTGGGTCGACTACCTCCTCTGACTAAGTAGACCAAGGACCACGATGGCCCGGGACGACAGAACCATGGGATCTTGATCGGTTCTATCATCCATTCCCCCACCATCCGCTTTAAGTGAAAGATGGTGAAATTTCTTATTTTAAATATCAAACTCTTCAATTCTCAACCATTTTTTTCAAACATCCAAATCTTCAAATTTCCAAAATTTCATACCCATGCTGCTGCTATATGCCAGATAACACGTATTCTCTACGTATCTGATTGACGACTAGTCTTAATCAAAAGTTCTCTCTCGTGATCGGGGGGTAATTACATATAGTGGCTTGCGCCTATAGGAAACCAGAACTCAGATCATAAAGTCCTCAAAAAATGAGGGCGAAATCTCTGGGTAGTGTCTATCTACAAACCATCTGCCTTCAAAATTTACCTCGGAACTTATTCAATTAAACTCCTCACCGAATAAAGAAAAGAGAGCGGAGGCCGGCGGCCGAATTTTCGGAGCCACAAGAATCTCATGTATTCACTATTTACAACAAAGATATACAATATAGTTTTCCTTCATTCTTTATTTTGCCATCTGAAGAAGATGACTACTTTTTATTCGAAAAGTATGCTTCTACATGTAAATTTATTGTTTCATTTAACAAGTTGGATTGATTGATATATGCATATATTGAATTGTATATATTATATATATATATATATATATATATATATATATATATATTATATTATATTATATATATATATATATATATATATATATATATATCACATACTTAAACTTCAAACTTAAAACTTCTTGATTGACAACCAAAACTTTTAACCAACAAATCAAGACAAGTTGTATTCGTTTTTATATTTGTTATAGCAGTTGTCACTACATAAATGACATCTCTCTTTAACAAATGGTTTTTTTTTTTTTTTTTGTACTTTAGTAAATAATATTTTTGTTTTGCATTGCATGAAGAAGATCATATCAATAAAGTGAAGATTAACTATTATTATTATTAGTGTCTAACACATATGTACTAGCATTCAAATAAAGTGAATGAAGAGAATTTTCATGTGAAAATTTTGAACGAAAAAAACTCAAATTAGCTCCGTTAAAATAGTTTTAACTAGTAATAGAAGGGTTACTAAATATCACATTTTCTTATTACTAAAGAAGGCGTCAATAAAAAAATAAAGAATAAATTATTTATGATGCTGTAGGTGATGATCATGTAGGACAGTAAGTAGCACAGTCGCAATTGGTTATTCTGCAAGTTTTGTAGTAGATGGATGCAACATAAGTTTTGACGTGAAAATAGTTATTGATACGGCATCATAAAATTATCTTGATCGGGCACGAATTTCGAGGCCTACCGCCGCGTATATTCTAGCACGTAACAATTATAATATCAATTTCGGAAGCATTAATTGATTTTAACTCGTAGAAACTCATTATGATGCAGAATTCCAAGTTTTAATCATCTTCAAGAATCTAATTAAGGACTAAACAAATACAAAATAACATAAAAGAAAATTAGGTTCTAGCATGACATATCAAAGTTCATTAACATTTAGGCTTCGTTTGGGATGGTTTTATTATTGCTTTATAAAGTTACTTTTTAGTACCAAAAATTCTTGAAATCAGAGAAAAAACAATGGTCTAAAGTTGTTTCAATTATTACTTTTTAAAGTTATTTTTTAGTACAAAAATCTCTTGAAGGAAGAAAAAAAGCAGTAGTCTAAAGTTGTCTCAAATGAAGCGACTTCGTTTGGAACAACTTTCTTATTGCTTTGTAAAGCAATTTTTTAATACAAAAATCTCTTGAAAGCAGAAAAAAATAATGATCTAAAACTGTCTCCAATGAAGCCTTAATTTGATCAAATTTGGGCTCATAAGACTTTAAACTTGCAAACCCAGCCAACTTAGAATCAATATTACTCAAATCCAGTTATGTCGAAAAACAACAAAAACCTTCTTCCTACGTGCAACTAAAAAATTGCACACAAGAAGGCCTTTATAGAGACAATCTCAGTCTCACCAATGAATTGAAATTGGTATAATAAAAAGAATGTCAAATTGTATTATTCCATTATTTTTTTATGGACTAAAATATAAAGCTAGGGATAAAGGTATTCTTGATTAATTTTGTCTTTATTTCTATTTCAATAGATTCATTAAGTTATTTACATATTATTTCATATATTATATAATATGCTTTAATTTTTAAATGGACTATCTTTATCTTAGGCCTTGTGATTAGATTGTTGCATAATTTATTTATTTTTTAAATATTTATGAGTATCTCATGCAAGTTGCTTAGCTTTATTTAAATCTGTAATTTACTTTTTATAAATAATAAGTATTGGAGAATAAGATTTTATTTATTCCAGCATATTACTTTTAGTTATCTAATTATTTTACTTAATAATTTTTTTATGTAGGCTTTATTTGTGATAGCTTTTTTATTACTTTCTAAAACAGTTTTTTAATACAAAATTTCAAAAAAAAATTATTAAAAAACTGTTTTAAAAACAAAAAAAATGTTCCAAATGAAAACTTATAATGTTTAATGGCTACACTACTTTAGCATTAATGGTGAACACTATTGATGATATAAAAAGAAGAGAATTATTATGTCGGTATATATCACTTTGTTGTGTATGATGAAGTGTAAATTTAAAATTTATAATTATACATTTGTGGAGGTGAGTAATTTAATTTTTTTGATATTTGAATAGTTCACACAAATATTGGCTTGACATCATCAAATAGTTAAGAGGTTATTAATTTTATAAGCCCCCATATGACATTATGACTATAGTATATATGTTTCATTGTTAATTTGAAAATGATATATCTTTTATGGTATCATTTGATAATTTGTTAAATATTTTCATAAACCCTAAACTATAATTTAAAGATCCATTCCCCTAACAAATTCCATTTTCTAAGTTAAAATTATTAAAACACCTTTTATCGGATATTAGAATTACTCATTCACAACCAATTTCAATTCATTGTGATAGCCAAGCTACTATTCACATCATTGAAATTTATTGTTATTTCATTTGTGAGATTTTTTTTATCACTTTATAAAGCAACATTTTAGCACAAAATTTCTTGAAAAAAAAAAATTATATTAAAAAATTATTTTAGAAAGCAGCAAGAAACTGTTTCAACTCAAGTCTAAGAAGTCGTTTGGAACAATTTTCTTGCTAATTTATGAAATAGTTTTCTAGTATAAAAATTTTTAATTTAAAAAAAATGTACTGAAAAATTGCTTCATGAAATAACAAGAAAGCTGTCTTAAACAAAATTCAAATCTTTTTGTTCCCTAAAATATATGGTAAAGCAACCATTTGATGTCCTTACCAAAACCACTTAATAGTGCTGCTTACACCAAATTCTTGATAAGTTAGTGTTCTTGATATCACAATCTCAACTTCAATTTGAGAGAAAGTACTGGACAAAAATCAACAAAGATTTCAAACAATATAGGAGCAATTGAAGTGTTCATGTCAGCCCAATAATTTAGGCTTGATAAGTTAGTGTTCTTTACATTTTCTTATGCAATAAGAAAGCTGTCCCAAACGAAATCATAATTACGTATATGTCACAACATACATTAGCAGAAAACTACTAAACAAACATAAGTGCTTTTCCAATCAGCCAAAACAAACAGGGTTAATTATTAAATCTATCTCTGTCATGAGAAGCAGAGTAATCTGTGCTGGAACCAATTGGAATGACTCCGTGCGGATTAATACTGGTATGGCTTCCATAGTAGTGCTTCTTTATGTGTTCCATGTTAACGGTGCTGCTGATGCCAGGAATTTGGTAAATGTCTTTAGTGTAATTGAACAGATTTGGATATTCGCGTAGGAGTTTCTTATTGCATTTGAAATGAACTGAATAAACCTATTAAACCAAAGCATCAATCAGTCTATGATCATCCAATTATAAGATGAGTGGCATAGATTGCCAGAAACATAAACTGGGAATAGCACCACTGATCAAAGAAACATTATTGGCACAGTTAATTATTATGAGTTACTAATTAGTTCAAAATTGATTCTTTACCACTAGTCGGATTTCATCTCAATCTACTACTCTAAATACAAATTTGCAAGAGAAATTAGAAACTAAGCTAAATATAATAAATATGGCGATGGAGATGGATTAAGAGGTAAATTAAGGGGATTAAACTAAGTTTATTAGACTTCATTATAAAATCATTTTGAAGGTTTTTATTGCAGAAAATTCAAGTGTTCATCAAAATAAGTTTCCTTGACTCTATTTGGTGGTCTCTTTCGCAATCTCTAATTTGTTTATATATTTTTTGTATTATACTTTGTTCGATCTAGAGTATATTTTTTAAATTATGTCTTGTATGTGCCCAAGTATTGGAGGACTTGAATTAGTTTTATATTTGTAAAGCTCGAGTTGTAGTTTTGGTGCCATGTAGTGTAAAGTAGCAGTTGATCATTCTGTCGAGAGAGGTGTAATGGTTTCTTTGCTTGTGTTGAGAGTAAATGAGTGATTTTTAATGGAATCCTAATATGGGTGGAGATTAGACATGGATGTAGGCTGATTTGATGTTGAACCGCATAAATGATATTGTTATCTTCGCTTTAGTTATATCTTAGTCGCCTGCATATTTACTTTTTTTTTTTCGTTTTTTGAAAGTTCCTGTATATTTGCTTGGTACTTGATTAATTTCATGGTTGGAATGTTTAAGTAGTGATATATGTTTGGAAAAATAACATGCTAGTGCAGTTGAGTTGATATTTATATTTATGCTCAAATTTTATAATTTTACTCTCATCATTGATTATATTTGTAATAAACACCATTCTTATGGAAACTGTTGAATTTAGAGATTTGAGAGTTAGAGATTTGAGAGGGAAAACGCTTAACTTTATTGAATAAATATATCCCTAAAAAAATCAATTACAAAATATTGCAATATCGCCCTAATAGAATCCTTCCTAAATCAGCAACCACCTAACTATGGAAAGAGACCGGTGTGATCTAGGTGAGCCTCCCACGGATCACCATCTTAACCGTGGGATCAATCTACTATGGGACGACTGAGATTTAACAGTCCCTCTCAAGCAGGGAATACAGATTTGTCATTCTCAGCTTGGTAATCAATCCCAAAATGGCAGAGCTATCAAGTCCTTTCGCAAGAATATCTGTAAGCTAATCTTTTGATGAGACATGATAGATACATATAAGACCACTGTCTAGCGATAGGAACATGAAATTGATGAAAGTATCACTACTTTTTGGAGTCATGGAATTCCACAACCATGACATAATCATGGAGTCCGCTTCATCCCATGCCCGAAATATAGGATCTTTTTTTGGTCCTACTCCAAGGAGGTGATTCATCTTCCATTTTCCTTTCAAGTAGGTCTTCATAAATTGAGACCACTTCAAATAATTCTTCCCATTTAAGCAATAGGAAAGTTGCATGTTATGGATATCTCCTCTTCCTTGGTTCACCGTAGAATCCTCAATTTGGTCGAAATTCTGGGAGGAATTAACTTTAGACATTGCGGTGAAAAAAGATAGCAAAGAAGGCAATCTAAATTTGTTTCCTCTGAATTTTGGTAATGGCGATAAGGTCGATGATTGTAGGTCCAGCCGGGGATAGGTGCAGGCTCGGATCGGGACGAGTGAAATCGAAGGCACGACGCACTGTTGTGGTACGAATGCCACGTATGAGTCAGTTCACGCTAAAGCGGCGACGTGGGTTGCGTGGGTTGGATGGGCACAATAGGAGGCACGGCGCGAGCGTCATGTGGGATGGACGGGCTGTAAGGGCGACGCAGGTCGCAAGCACGGCCGCACAGGATTGCCTGCATCGCGTTCGGTCTCACATACATGAGACGTGAGAGTGGATCTCGCTCGATTCTTCCGAAAAACACGCACAAGGAGTTCGTCTCTTTCTTGATAAATTTCTCCAGACGAAGAAACATTCGTCTCTTTCGATCGAATTCTCCAGACAATAGGCACAAGTCATTCTTCTCTCTTGATCGAACAAAGAGGTCGTGAGGTGAAGCTTTCTCCCTTCTCTTGGTTCTCTCGGTATGGAGGGAAACGGACCAAAAGATTATGGCTCTAATACCATGTTCAATTCAGAGATTTGAGATGGAAAATGCATAACTTTATTGCACAAATATATCCCTATTTATAGATCTATACAAAATCTCTAATAAAGAAATAAATCAATTATAGAATCTTGCATTATTGCCCTAATATAATCCTTCCTAAATCAGTCACCTGACTATGGAAAGAGATCGGCATGATCCAGGCGAGCCTCCCACGAATCTCTATCCTAGCCGTGGGATCAATCTAATGAGTGATGGCTGAGATTTAACAGAAACTTAGTTATGTGGCTTTGGTGCTTAATAAGATAATTTATATAGCTTGTGTAGTAAATTAAATATTTTGTTATTGGGCTTATTGGAACGTTAATAGCACATCATACTTGTATTCATCCAGCATTGAACACTAGCATGATGTATCTTGTAAGTTGAGTTTGTACTTGTGCTAATCAAGTGAAGCATTACTTTTGTACACTCACCTACATTGTGTTTTTACTTTATGATTCAACATGAAATTCTAAAGCATCACCACACCCTTAATTCCGCCCCATCCTAATTCTAAAGTTGCACCACGTTAAAATGATTTGCATCCAATAAGCACTCAAGCATTTAAGAAGAAACAAAAAGTCAAGATAAGCATGCATCCCATCAAATTGTAATAGCTAAGCATGGAAAAAGTCATAGATAACACTTTTATATAATAACAAATCAATATGATTAATTCAGAGAAATAGATCAAAATGGCCTCTTGACTTTCTATGAAAGATCAAAATAGTCTTTAACTATATTAAAGGATTATTTTGGCCCCTCAACTCCTTAAAGAGGAACCAAAGTAGTCTCACCATAGAGCTATTTTGATTCCTCTAAAAGATTTGACAGACCAAAATGATTATTTAATATAGTTAAGAACCATTTTGATTCATCATAAATAATCAAATGATAATGGTTGTGTTAGTCTTCGTGGAATCTGATTGTGTCGATCAATCTAATTGTACTGTTGCCTCGAACCTTAAGTCAATTTCTCATGCTCTATTTGGGGGGGAGGGTTCTCCCACTACTTGGTTTCCAGTGCAAAGCACCTGAAAATTTTTATTCCAAACAAAGCCCTGGCATTGTGTTCCCGTGTGCCCTGATTTTGTAAAGTTTGCTAGGAGAAACAACAAAGATCAGTGCACCGCATCGCTCTAGATTCGGCACCGCAGTGTTGTGTAGTGTAGTGCTGCAGGTTTAAATGTCGCAATATCATCAGACGGATCAGGATCAAAGGTTTGAGCACCGCAGCACTCCAAACTGACGCCGTAGCACTTTGAGGTTGATTGAATAGTTTTTTTCTAGTTTTTCTTAAGGTGGCATCTCTTGGTGTTATTAACTTGTCTTTCTCTTTTGTTTTGAGTATGAGAATGGCAAGAGAGGAGATAAGCAAGGAGAGAGTGAGAGAGAAGGAGATTTGTACATATTTCTCCCAAATTTCATAATAGATTTCTTGGTGTGGTGTGGCTCTGTGGTTTTTTCTCAATTTCAGATTTTTTTCACGTTAAATCTTGGCATCCTTTACTTTATGCTGCTTTTACATTTTTGTTTGTTTCGTTATGGTGTTTTATTTCCACCCCCAATAATTGATGCTTTTCTTAATTAATTCAGAACCCAACTAAAGGTCTTATAGTAACTCAAGAGGAACACAATTAAATAGAGGATGAATAATAATAGAGAATAAATTGTTGAATTGAACCAAACCAACAAGGAATCAAATAAAACCCAAGAGAAAAAAGCGCTCGAATATTAGAAAACACATCTCAAGAGAAAAAAGGGCTCGAATATTAGAGAAATTCTGAAGCGTCATCACACCCTTAATTTCACCACCCCACCCTAATGTTAAAGCTGCACCACGTTAAAATGATTTGCATCCAATAAGCATTCAAGCATTTAGAAGAAACAAAAAGTCAAGATAAGCATGCAGCCCATCAAATTGTAATAGCTAAGCATGGAAAAAGTTTTAGATAACACTTTGATATAATAATAAATCAATATGATTAATTCACAGAAATAGATCAAAATGGTCTCTTGACTCTTTATGAAAGATCAAAATAGTCTTTAAATATATTAAAAGATCATTTTGGCCCCTCAACACCTTAAAGAGGAACAAAAGTAGTCTCACCATATAACTATTTTGATTAATCTAAAAGATTTGACAGACCAAAATGATCATTTAATATAGTTGGGAATCATTTTAATCCAACATAAAGAGTCAAATGATAATGTTGGTGTTAGTCTTTGTGGAATATGATTATGTCGATCAATCAAATTGTACTATTGCCTCGGACCTCAAGTCAATTTCTCCAGCTCGATTTTGAGGGGTCCTCCTACTACTTGGGTTCAGGAGCAAAGCACCTAAAATTTTTTTCCAAACAATGCCCTGGCTTTCTATACCCGAGCGCCCCGGTTTTGCAAAAATTGCTAGGAGAAAAAACAAAGATCAGAGCACCACAACTCTCTAAATTAGGCACCGCAATGCTGTGTAGTGCAGCGCTACGGGTTTAAATGCTGCAGTATCGTCAAACGGATTAGAATCAGCGGTTTGAGCGCCACAACACCCAAAACTGGCGCTGCAGCGCTTTGAGGCTGACTGAATAGTTTTTTTTCTAGTTTTTCTCAAGGTGGCATCCTTTGGTGCTATTAACTTGTCTTTCTCTTTTATTTTAGTGTGAAAATAGTGCAAGATAGGAGAAAAGCAATGAGAGTGAGAGAGAAGAAAGATATGTATGTATTTTTCCCAATTATCATAATGAATTTCTTGGTGTGCTGTGGCTCGTGGTTTTTTCCCGATTTCGGATTTTTCCATGTTAAATGTTGGTGTCATTTACTTTCCGCTGCTTCTACTTTCTTGTTTGTTTCGTTATGGTGTTTTACTTTCACCCCCAACAATTGATGCTTTTCTTAAATAATTCAGAACCCAACTAAAGGTCTTATAGTAACTCAAGAGGAACACAATT